GGCATCAAACAAAGGTGAGGCTCTGGGGGGCCGAGGCTCCCCAGAGTAGGAATATTAGTATATAGCAGTAAGTCGCAGCTGAAGCGGTAGTGGAGATCCCGGCGATGGGGAGGAGTGCTTTTATACCCCAGGGACAAAGATCGAAAGTTCAATGGGGGTAGGGTAGTCAAAGTTTGAACCAGGGACAGGGTACTGCGTCACAGTAACGCAGTTGGTCTTTAATCTATTTTTAGCCAAAGCCATTAATCATTATTTGATATATTACGCGACAGCTAGGATTTAAGGCAGAGTTGCAGGTACAGTTACTGTCGAGCTGAATTCCGACGGTTTGATTCTAGCAATGAGAAAGACAACACTTCCACCGATGTTGCAGAAAGCTAAGAAAAGTTGGCACGAAAAAAGCCGGTACAGAAAAAAAGATCCCTGGCCATTTCCAGTGCTCAAATAGCAGCACTATGCTTTCAAATGTGAAGATGACATGCTCGATTCTCTCCTGCTGCACATTCAGTTGCAAAAAAGGGCCCCGTCCATGATGCCCAACTATTCAGTCATTTCGTGTGAAGTGATGTTGGCGCATGTCAGGCGGCCTGCTGGGCAAAGCGGGATATGCAAAGGCGCGCAGATTTGGCAAGAAGTTTCGTGAAGGTCGTCCGGTGATCATGCTTGATTTATGCGCTAAAATCTTGTACATAAATGTGAGTGATCAGGGATTGATTCATTGTTTGTTTTTTTAAGTTCCCCGATTGGCTCGTCGGTAGCAGCAAACCTCAATTATGTCCTCAGCTTCGTCAGGGCGCGACTCGCCAGTGCCAGACGAGGCTTGCCCAACAGGCCATCAGCTTGTTTCTAAGCAATTCTCAGGAGAATGAACCATCACCAGCCTTACCAATAGGTGACTCGCGTTACCACTCTATCTCGGGACATCTTTGCCTCTCGTAAAGGGTGAGCTAAGGTGCTGCAGAAATTTTAAAGATACAAACAGTGAATGTTCTTGGCGAGGAGCATGGGGGAGAACGAAGACCGGGTTAAGCTGGATTCGTCTTTCAATTTTGACACCATCAACAACTGAACTCGACATCTGGTTAGCGGCAGGCAAACTTTAAATCTATTATTTTGCCCAGCTAAATCAGTAGCACCGTTTTCTAATTATGCTACAGCAGCAATTTTCCAGTTGCTTTAACCAGTGCTGTATCGCCTTGCGACCAATCTTCATGGCGATGCTCGAGTCCATTTCATCTCTTGAGGGGGATATTAGCTCAGAAATTCCACAGTTGAAGCATTTTTTACAAAATTTTAGCCGTTTCGAGATGTCACTGATGTATGCTAAAGACTGATAAGTCGACATGAATGTCGCCACTCCTAGATCCCACTAAAATGTCTTATTGACTAAAAGGTGAGCAAAATGTCACAGACACTGCCGGTGGCTGTATGACGCCGCATACCAGCGACAGGAATTCGAGAAAAAAGGAAAAACATGACAAATGCTAAGTGATGATCTGCACCACAGAAGAGAAGAGTCTAGCGTCGCAACGCTCGGTATGAAAGGTCGGTTCCAGCCGAAACTTTACAGAGACAAATCGCATAACTAGAAAAAAGAACCTGCAAAATCTTAAATGCCAAGCCACACACTTTACAAATGACATTTTTTTAAACTCTGAGACCAACCCTTCTAAAAAGTTCCCAGCTAAATTCTTGTTTTTCCAGCGTAGCTCCCAAACAGTTCAGCGATGTAGCGCTTGTGCAGGGCATATCCGGTGGGCTTGTAACACTACGTCGCAGCGCTTTTTCCACAGGTCTCTGAAAAAAAATAGCAACATATTTGTACAACCAAATAATAATAAAAACAATAAAAATAATAATAGTAATGATAATAATAATAGTAACTGTAACAGTAACACAATAATAATAGCCGTACTAAAAGTGATAATAATGTCATTGATAGCGACAGTAACAATAATACTAATAATAACAATAAAAGTGGTAATAACAATAATAACAACAATGACAATAACAATATTAGTATAATAGTAGTAATGATAATAACAATAATAATAATGCCAGAAACTGAGAGTAAAGAGATGAAATTAC